CATTTGAGCAATCTTTGAAGCACTTACATACATACATACATACATACATAATGGCTGGCTGGCTGGCTGTATTTGCTTTCTGAACATATCCATCTGCTAGGCCGGTTAAACAGTTCCTGTCACAGACACCTGCTCAGGCACATTTGTGTTTGTTCAACGCCCATAGACTGTAACTATGCTGAGAAGACCTTACTTACATTTTCTGGGAGAGTTTTATCTTGCCATGATCAGCAGTTTGAACAACATCAGTATACTGAAAGAACCTGTCACAATGACTTTGTTACATTATTGCTTAATGTATACCCCCTTTGTACTATCGTTTATGCACTCTAATCGACGTTAAGGAAGGCGATTCTTGTTCCCTGATACGTCCCCTTTCTCCCTAACCCCTTTTCTCATTCTCTTTCTTCTGGTACCCAATAAAGGCCAGTAACGTTCTGTCAAACCTCAAACCTGTGTCTGTCCTGTTTTCCATGACTTAATGTACCAACAAAAAAGGCAGTCCAACGTATGCTGTTGCATTTGAAGTGACGATAACACGGAAAGAAAAATGTGGCCACGTGCGTATGGCGGAAGGATTCCAGTCAAAAGTATCGCCACAGGGCAAACTGGACATTAAGATCAATGCCTCAGAAGGACGGAAGCTCTGGAAACAGATGTGGAGTAATTACAGCATTGTGAGCAAGCTGCATGGACAAAATAAAGAATACCAACCGGCGCTATTTCTCCACGCTATCGGACCATACGCGTTGATAGTCTACAACAGTTTTCAATTCACTTGAACGGAAAATAAAGATGACTTGAACACGGTAATAGCTAAGTTTAATCAACATTTTATCGGACAGATCAACGAAACATACAAACGGTATGTCTTCAACAAAAGAGATCAGGAACAAGGTGAGAGTGTAAAATTGTAAATGCTGCTTTCTTTAAATGTTGGAGAGCACCAATGTAAATGGTTTTTTGATGAAAGATTAATGTGGATGCGTGTTGAAGAGCATTTAACATTTATACATTTTTAAAATCAAGGAAAAACAATGGAAACCGATTTGTGTATCAACAATAAAATATATATATTAAAATCAACAACAAATACAAAGGTAATTTTGTAATGTGAATAAGGAGAAAAAGTAGTTTCTTTTATCTGTTAGTTGAATATGGTGATATTTAAATTAATGAAGTTTTCTGAATATAATGTTCAGAGTTCTGTGTTAAAATAGAATGTTGCATTCAGAAGATCAGTTAATTCAGTTGTGTTTTGTAACTAACAGAGTTGTTGCAACTTGGCTTGTTCAAAGAACTGATGGTGAATGATATTCAAGTTCTGTGTCTGTGTGTGTGCGTGCGGAGTGTAGAATGAATAATCTGTGTAGACGCGTGTGAGTAGTTGAGTTCTACTGTCTTCAACTCTACTGTTTAATTTGGCAATGAATCCGACTTATATTACTATCGGTAGGGCTCCAGCACGAACGCAGGATAAATTTTGAAAGAACACGAAAATATCTGATTGATGAAAATTAACCAATCGGTGATTTTATAACAAAAGCATGTTTGTGAGTTAACGGTAGGAAAAATTCAGTGTGGTGAATGCGATCAGTAAATTGTCCTGTGATATTTAGTATTTATTATTTGACCAATCACAGTTGAGAAAAATGTATGCGTGTCAAACATAGTAGTAATCACTACAAGAGCATTGATTCATATCTAACCATGGTTCGCAACCTAGCGAAGTCTTGCAATTTTTGTGAATGTTTATACGATGTTTTGCTATGCAACCGCATAGTGCTGGGTGTAAGAAACAACCAGGCATGTAAAAGAATGCTACAGCTTTCAACACTGAATCTCGGACAATGTAATTGTAATGACATGCCGAAGTTGTGAAGCTACAACAAGACATTTGAAAGCTATGAGAGACTTGAACGTGGCAGACTAAATATACAGAGTGCAAAAACAAAGCTACAAACAGAGATATCGTATCTATGCAAATATGATGCTAGAAAAAAGGAAGGTGAAGTTCCAAGTGGACTGTGGAGCTACCATCAATGTAATCCCGCAGAAATACGTGCGCAATACCTACCTGCAACCGTCTACCACAAAACTCAAGATGTGGATCGGGACGGAACTAACGTCCATTGGAAAATTCCGAATTGTGCTGCGCAACCTCCAGAATATGAAGAAATATTCACTGGGATTCACTGTAATCAAGCCGAGTTTGACACCTTTGTTAGGAAAATGCGCAAGCGAACAAATGAACCTAATAACTGTGAATTACAATAACAACGCTAATGTTAGTTCAGTACCAGAGTGCAAACAGCTCCTAATGGATTATGCAGACTTTTTCAACAGCGAACTAGGATCATTACCTGGGCAGGTGCATTTACAAGTTACCGAAACCGTCACACCGCATAGAGCCGCAGCAGGACGCATGCTAGTGTCCATAATCCCTCAAGTTCAAAAGGAACTAAAGCGACTAGAGGAACTCAGAGTTATCGCTCTTGTTGATGTACCTACAGATTGGAATAGCAGAATGATCACTGCAACAAAGAGCACAGGTGAGATTCGTATCTGTATTGATCCAAGACACCTGAACAAGGCACTGAAGCTTGAACGATACCAGTTACCAACCACAGATGAAGTGCTACCAAGGCTAACAAATGCAGAATACTTCACCAAGTTGGACGTGACATCAGCTTACTCGCATGTAATATTGGACAATGAATCCAGCTACCTCACTACATTTCAGACAGGTTTCAGGCGATATCGGTGGCTCAGACTCCCCTTTGGAACATGTGTGAGTTCTGAAATATTTCAGAAACGTCTTCACCTCCCTCTGGATGGCCTAAATGGAGTTGCGTGTGTCGCCGATGGCATCATTGTATTTGGTTCAGGAGACGAACTCGATCAAGCATCAGCAGACCATGATTTGAATCTGAAATTGCTAACTACAAAGATCCCGAGAGAAGAAAATCAAACTGAACAAAGAAAAAGTCCAGCTCAAGGAATCAGCAATCAGCTTCATTGGGAATCTCGTAAATATCGTAATGGCCTACTACCAAACCCTGCTAAAATTGATGTAATCACCAAGTTCCAACCACCCACTTCAGTGGAAGGAGTACAGGGACTCTGTGGAACCGTGAATTACCTTGCAAGGTTTCTGCTACAACTATCCTCTGTCATGGAGTCGATCCGACGACTGATGCGTAATGATGTCCCATGGACATGGTCTCGTGTACATGACGCAGCATTCGCAGAAATGAAGCAACTTGTGACAAAAGCTCCAGTACTCAGTTTCTACGACCCGAATGCACCATTTTTAATTCAGTGTGATGCAAACTCAGAAGAACTTGGTGCAGCCAGGAAAGCCTGTCGCATATGAAAACAGAACAAAATTGAGACAAATTGAAATACGCCCAATTGAAAAAGAAATTTCACTAATAGTATATGGTAGAAAGACAGAATTTTCAATTAAATAAACCACTAGACTTTAGAGGCCATAGAAATACACCCATGGTCAAAGCACCAGAGGTCTACAGGAACCCCACAAATATATATATATATATATATAATATATATATATATATATAAATATAGCATGACATCGATAGTATATATCCACAGAGGGAAAGCATGTACATTGCAGACATGCTATCGCGGTCATATTTGACAAATGAAAATAACTATCAGAGTTTGAGCATGTGAATATGGTCAGTTCCTCCCAATCCGTGACGAAATGCTTGTGCAGATCCGCAGGGCAACAGACCAGGACGAAATATGCGATCAGCTGAAGAAAACCATATTACAGGGGTGGCCGTCTGATAAAACAAATCTTACAACTATGCTACACCCATATTCCCATCTACGTGATGAGATGTCCGCTTAAGATGGTCTCATATTTAAAGGTGACTGAGTACTCATCCCTCTCAGTTTGCGGAATGAGATTAAACGTGAACTTCACTCATCACACATAGGCATTGATGGATATCTACGGCGAACCAGAGAATGTGTTTTCTGGCCAGGTATATCATCGGACATACGAGAGTACATATCCACATGTGAAACTTGCTGCAAGTTCACAATAGAACAACCTAAGGAGACATTAATGCCACACAACATACCTGATCGTTCGTGACAGGAGGTTGGTGTTGACTTATTTGAATTTGACAGCTGTCGAGTACCTGTCGTAACTGTCGATTAATTTTCAAACTTCTGGGAAATAAATCGACTTGAGGATACTACTACCTCAACCGCAAATTGAAGGCACACCTCGCAAGATATGAGATTCCATGTCAATTGATCTCCGACGCAGGACCACAGTTTACGTCTTCATCCGTCAAGAACTTTTTGAAAAAATCTGACCCCTCGTTGGTTAATGGACGAAATCAACAGGCAAATGGCAAGACCGAATCTGCAGTTCAGAGTGCAAAACGGCTCATGAGTAAAAACAAAGACACCCACACAGACCAGTTTCTGGCAGAAACATCCCAACCCAAGGAATGGGAAGCATTCCTTCTCAGCGCCTTATAAATCGCCGCACTCGTACACTTCTCCCCATGAGAAGCAATTTGCTAAATCTTAGGACCGCGAGCCTTGAACCGAGTCACAATATTCTACTGGAGCACAGACAGAAGGTTCAGGCTAAATACTATGACCGTCATACACGTGATTTACCTGTGCTGAGTGAAAGTGATGTCGTACGAATACGTCTGTACAAGAAAGGTGATCGAATATGGGAGAAAGGCATTACAAACTACCGATTGGATGAACGTTCATACGAAGTCCAGACAGCGAGTGGGACCTATCGGCGAAACAGACGTCATTTGCGCAAAACTTCTGAACCAGCAGAACATGCGATAAATGGACAGCCACCACCATCCACTACAGACACTCTAAGTTTTCCACATGACATGGCAAGAAAAAAAAATACAAACAGCCCCTACACTTCTAATAGTATCCTCATCAGCTTCAGCTGTTGCAATCAAGCAAAGGCACAAAAATACAACTGAACCTGAAGATGTGAATCTCCTGTTGGGATTCACACACGTGCTGGACGAGATATACGACAGCCAGCGTGTCTGAAGGAAGGACTATGTCAAACTGATTAAGGACTGTACGTGAGACCGTAGTCACTACTTACAAAAGATGGGATGTTACATTATTGTTTAAAAATGTATACTCCCTTTGCACTACCGTTAAATGTATGCTCTCTAATCGGCGTTTAAGGAACGTAATTCTTGCTCCCTGATACGTCCCCTTTCTCCCTAACCCCTTGTATCATTCTCTTTCTTCTGGTACCCAATAAAAACCAGTCACGTTCTGTGTTGGCTCTCTCCCAAACCTCAAACCTGTGTCTGTCCTGTTTTCCATGACTTAAAATAAATGTAACAAATTTGTGACTTTGTGCTAGTTTACAAGCACCTTTCCAAATGTGGCACAATGCTGGGATTGCCTCCTCATGGTCAAAAAGTTCTAACTACTAGAGAGTATGCACCCATACATACATACATACATACATATATGGCAGCAGCTGTCCACTCAAAAGGATTACATTTTTCACTATAAATATGCATCTGCTTCTGCTGGCGTTGCCTTCTCATTGGCTCTACACTTGTTCTTAAAATTTTGTTTGTGTGTGTGTGTGTGTGTGTGTGTGTGTGTGTGTGTGTGTGTGTGTGTGTGTGTGTGTATACATACATACATACATATATTTATATATATATGTAAACACACATACACACACATACCTGTGTGTAACATTTTCTTACCTCTTCCATTTTTACCTCAGTAGTGTAGTAGTAATATCTTGACAAAAGATTCTTCTTCTGATACGATAACTTTTGCTCCTTCATGTTACTTAATTTTTCCTTTCATTGTCATGAGACTTCTACACCACATGATGACCTAAAATTTAATTGATATTGATTTATTAAAAACAATTAATTTACATTGTAAAAAACGCGTAATGTTTTTTACGATAGCAAAAAAATGTCGCAGTCACCTCCCTTAGATTAATTTGTCACCGTTTTTTTTTTTGCAGTTACTTCCCTTTAATGCATATTTTATCCATTAAACTTTATAATTTTATTTCTGCTTTGTTTTGGCGTAAATACTGCATTAACGCAACAATCACACAAAGATGTCACACATCGCATTTTCTACTCATTGTGAATGTCATTTTATGAAATAATTCAAATATTTTAAATGAAGCACTGTCATTAATTATTCACAATTTTTTAATCTTATTTTTACTTTTAAATAAGACAAATGTAAAACTAATCAAAAATTTAAAAAAGTGTTATGACTGTATCATAAAGGAAGAACTGCACATAAAAAAACGAAAATAATCTCTTATAGACTTTTCATGACAGATACTTTATAAAAATATGCTGAATTTTTATTTTATTTTACAGGTTTTCATCATCATCATCATTATCATCATCATCTGTCCCACAAATTAGTGTAATTGTTTGGGTCACTGTTCAGCTGTGCTTCTGACTAGCTTAATCTACATATCTGCATTAAATGCAGGAGAGGTATTCATTCACACATGGCATGTTTTTGATAAGTGGGCCTGGTGGGTCCCATCCCTTTCAGGATTAAACCACAGCTGATGTCCTCTAATTTAGAAGGCTCAGTTTGGTCACAAACACATAATTGTTGATCCTATTGGAAGATCCCTCTACTCTGGCTGTTGTTTTCAGACTAGAAAGCCCTTAAATTAGCAATGCCATGTCATCATATCCCCTGACTAGTTGCATACAAAGCTATGGAGCCTATTTTTCTAGATGGCTGTTTTATCTTGACAAGGAGTTTCATCTAACCTTTGGTGGGTCTTGTTTTTAATCCTCCTGGCTGTCAAGCCACCCTCCTCATGAGAAAAGTCTGGTGATATATACAGTTTAACCACGGATAACTTGATAATGTAGCAGTAAGTTACATGATACCAGAACACTTGTAGAGTGACCTGGCATTTGTTTTGTACCACATTGTAAATATGCTTTAAAAACTTAGGCAACACTGATAGCAATTTAGAGAAGAAAAAAAATATTAAAATAATTTTGCATAAATAGTAAAAAATAAATAACAGGCAACACTGATAGTAATTTAGAGAAGAAAAAAATATTAAAATAATTTTGCATAAATAGTAAAAAATAAATAACAGGCATAAATACTGTACTTTCATAAAATGTATATCTATCTTTGATCCTATCAATCTATCTCTCTATCTATAGTCTAATCCTATATATCTGTCTATGTCTGTTCATATCTATCACTATATGTCTGTTCATATCAACGTTTGTTCATATCTGTCTAAATTTTGTTCATATCTATCTATGTCTGTTCATATCAACATCTGTTCATATCTATGTCTGTTCATATCTATCATTTCACCAGGTATAGGGTTGCCTCAGCTATGGGTTAATTAGTAGACTTGTATCCCTAAACCATTATTATCTCGAAAAAATAGTTCTTAAAATCTAAAAATATTTTCTGGCTCTAATAAACTGCAAAGAGTTGATAAGCTGTAGAAAATGAAAAAAGAAAAATCTAACAGCAGTTGTATATATGTGAGTGTTTTAGAATGGAGGTGAGGCAGAAAGTCTAGCTTACTGTATGAAGACTCTGGAGGTAATGAAAGCATGGTAACAGAAAAGTTAGTCTTCCTATAAAATGTTCTTTCTTTTCTCTCCTCTCTGATATATATATATATATATATATATATATATATATATATATATATATAAATATATATAAATATATATATATGGTATTCGGCATATGAGAGTCAACCAGCTCAATTACTAGGAAATGACAGCCAGATACCAGCACATGATTTGATTATAGTGGTGAAGGCTTTGATCAGAACCAACCACACTTTTTGAAGGGCCAAATACAGAAACCTGGTGCACTACGTGCCACAAGGTCCCCAAACAATTCTCTGCGGGTTTTGAATTCAGAGGTGTCATTCTCCTAGACCAGTTGCCATCCAAACCTATAGAACCCAGTCTGTCCTGCTACTTACCCATAGCTGGAGGGTGAAGAAGAGGATTAATACCTTTCCAAGGGTATTAGCATGTAAATGAATGTAATGGATTCAACAGGAATTCAAACTTGGCTCTCCATTCCTCAATCTGAGCCAAATCCACTACTCCAGCATGCTCATATATATATATATATATATATATATATATATATATATATATGTATGTGTATATATATATATATATATATATATATATATATATGTCCCTTGATTAATATGCATTCAATTAATGTTTTTTCAATTAGTGTAATTATTAGTTTAAATTTTGGTTCTGTTATTATACATTGAGCACTCTTTTATTATCACATGCACTTATTGTATCTTACTTATATTTA